TCCCCCCTGGCGGGGCTGACCCGAGGCCGCCTGTGGCTGCCAGGTACTTGCCCCCCGCATCCCAGGGGTATTACCTTTTTCATGGCTGCGTAATATTCCACCGCGTACAGGGACCACCTCTATTTAACCCAGTGATGTGCTTGTGGGCATTTGGCCAACCGGACAGTCTTTTATTTTGTTTAATAGGCTCTCGGGGGCCAGCCCTTGATTTTTTTGTAATTTCATAGAATAGTTTATTTTTCCATCACTCTGGGCCTTTCTCCTTCTCAGCGGTGACGCCCGGGGGCTTCCCGTCACCAGATCACCCGTGTGCCGTCATCACAGTGCCGTGTGTACTCTTACCCCCACCCACCCCACTGTTTTTGATCCCATTGCCCACCCCAACCTCGTAAAATGTCTCTGGTCTATAGTTGTTCATTATTATTATTGTTATTTCCCCCCTGGTCCATTATGCTCCTGCCATGACTGAAACCATCCGGTATTTTCCCTTTTCTCTCCGGCTCATCTCTCAGCACGACCCCTCCCAGCTCCATCCATGCCACTGCGCAAGGCACGCGTTTATCCTTTTCACGGCTGCATAATGTTCCACTGTGTATACGGACCACCTCTTTTTAATCCCGTCATCCATTTTGGGGCATTTGAATTGATCTCACGTCTTTCCTATTGTAAATAAAGCAGCAATAGCCATGGGGTGCAGCCCGAGATTCTTTTTTTAGATTATTTTGTGCCCTTTTCCATCTCAGTTGTCATCCCCGTGGGCTTCCCTTCACAAGATTACTCTGTGTCATCACCGTAGTCCGGTGCACTACCCCCACCACCATTTTTGACCCCATCCCCCACCCCACCCCCATAACATGTCTCTGGTATATAGTTGCTCATTATAATTATTGCCCGCCACCCCGGTCCCTGATGCTCCTGCTATGAGTGAGACCATCTGGCATTTTCACTTTTCTTTCTGCCTTATTTCACTCAGCACGATCCCGTCCAACTCCATCCATGTGGCTGCCAAAGGCCTGACCTTATCCTTTTTGATGGCTGCGTAATATTCCACCATATATATATATATGGTGGGGGCATTTGGGTGGTTTCCACGTCTTTCCCTATTGTAAACAGAGCAGCAATACACATGGGGGTGCAGGTGTCTTTTTGAATCCGTGTTTTTGTGTCCTTCGGGTAGGACCCGAGGAGTGGGATGGCCGGGTGCTGTGGAAGCTCCATCTTTAGCAGTCTGAGGAACCCCAAACAGCTTTCCACCGGGTTATAATTTCTGAGCCGACAGCTCCCATGCTGGACAGAGGCCCAGAAGAGGCCCTGCAGGGAATTGTGTCGCTTCCTGAGACCCAAAGCGGCTGCCCACTTCCCACCCCTACCGGCACGGCAGAAGGGGCTCCCCTTCCTCTGCGCCCCTGCGGCACCTTGGTGGAGGGGGTCTCTTTCATGCAGGGGCGTGCAGCGGCACCCCGACCTGCATCTCCCTGCTCCGAGTGACGCCCCGTGCATTAACCGTGCCTGCTGTCCATCTCCCGCAGTGCCTGGAGCCGTGCAAGGACTTCTGGGACCTTCACAAGTTGCAGTGTCCGAGCCTCTGTGAGGTGAGCAGCCCCGGGGGGCCGTCGGCGCTGACCTGGGGGGCCGTTGGTTTAAAGGGCACCTGTATTCTCGTGTAGCGTGGGGAGCTCAGCCTCGTTCTGTGTGCGTGTGTGTGTGAGAGACAGAGCAGCTCTCAGCTACTCTTCGAAGACCAGGAGCCTGGGGCCCACTCTCGCCACCCCGACTTCCCTCCCTGTCCGCCACAGGGCGCCGTATGTCAGGTCTTCCCAGCCTCTCTCCCAGGGAGCGGGCACAGGGCCTCTTCTGCGGGGATCCAGCCACGCCCTCTGTACCCGTGGCATTCAGTGCGACGTGGAAAAACGAAATAAAGCCAATCGGGTGTTCATGGAGAAACAATAGAAAAACAAGGTAAACCCAATGGAGTGTGCATGGAAAAACAGTAGAAAAACAAGCTAAACCCAAGGGAGTGTGCATGGAAAAAACAAGAGAAAAAATGAGTTGATAATGATGAACAAAGCCTAGAAGATGTAGAAAAACAAGATTAACACAGTAGAGGGTGCCTGGAGAAACAATAGAAGAACAAGTGTAAATGCAATAGAGAGTTGAGTTGATAACGACGGGCAAAGACTGTAGATGAATGTCCGATGGGTCCAAAAGGGTCAGGCAAGGACAGAGAAGGCTTTGAAAACAAGCAGCAGGGAGCTCGCCCAGGGGGTGGAAAGTCCATCGGTAATGAACATGAGACGAAGCCAACAGAGTGCGAACG